GGCTATAGTAAATTTATCCAGTCCACTTTGTCTCAAGAAAGTCTTCATAGTTTGCCAGCTTTCTGGACTAATTCGTTCTCAGAGTATTTTGACGTTAGTGACGTTTGTTTACCAGTACTTTTGTAGCGGGAGAGCTCTGACTCAAACTCCACTATTTAAGAGACTGGAGAGCTTTGTAATAAATGCAGGGCATGCAAAGGCTCTCCTAGCTACTCAGAGAAACTTTCTTTTTTGCTAGCATGCTGCAAGCATAAGTATGTTTGGCAAAAACGCTGTAGTTTGAAATGCCCGAAGTTGGGCGTCCGAGTCCGTAGCTGGGCACGCACTGCTGGTTTCTGTTTCCTAAGAGGTGATGACGGCCTGCAGCTGCCACTGCTGTCAAGTCTGGGTGAGCCTGGGGTGCTTGGTGCTCTGAACGTCTGACAGCTCCCACTGAGGAACCGAGCTGGAGACCTGAATGCCTAACTCGGGCATTCCAAGTTTTACTGTGCTGGTCGTAGCAGATCTGATGCAGCAGATAGACTCGGCCGTTCAGTGGGAGCTCTGGTTCGTTTCTGGCTGGGGGCTGATCCATCCATGACTGCGGCTTTACGTTGCCCAGGTTGTTAGCGCGTGCGTAGCCCAGCGTTGCAAGTGGGGCTGCTTGTGCCACCCTGGAGCAAGCGAGAGGCAGGAAAGAGGCTCACGGTGCGCGGGGTGTGTTACTCTACGGCTTCCAGATCGGTCCTGTGGCTAATGCCGTGTTACCAGTGTGGCAGCCCACAGCTTGGAAATGCTCTGGTTTTACATCACTGCCACTGGTGGTGGAGTTAATGTTTTCTTTTGACTTCTTTTTCTTCCTCCAGAAATGTGGAATCTGTGGAAGGGAGAAATACAGGGAACTGGTAAAAGATTTTTCTCAGTCCGTGATCTTCCAGAAATTATTTTAACTTCTGCAGCTGCTTTAAAACATTTTCTGTATCTGTGTTGAGAAAGCAGGTACACTGCTGTGAACAGTGAAGCTAGGAATTTGTCTTATAGAAGCGGCATTATGTACTGGTGAAAAACACTAATATACTTTTCTGAGGGTTAGCTGAGAAGTAATAAGCAAAATCTATAACAAGAGCAGTAAAGAGGGATGGAAAAGCAAATGCCTAATGATTTTGGGCATAAGAATTAAAAAACAAATGACGTTTGCTCACCTATCTCAGGACAAGGTAATACCCAGCAAAGTTCAATAGCTTGCAGGTAGTAATGGAGCAGATACTGCTATCAAGAGACATAGTCCTGCCTAACTGAAGATTGAAAGCAAGGACAGACACAGGGTGTAGCATTTATGGCTTCTGTTAATGTATTTTGAATGTCATTAGCATCTTCTTTCCCATGCCTTTTTAAGCACCAGGGTTGAATACAGTCAGGGGAACAGCAGTCTGCTGCTGTTTCTGAGAATCCCAGATAAGCAGCAGTGAATCCCTTACCAGTGTATTACAAGAGATTCAAACACTGGGGTGTTTTCCCAGAATTTTAATCAATGATTGTTTGTTTTCTGCATGCTTAAAGACACTCACAAAGCTTTAGATACTCTCTCTGGCTGCTTTCATACTGCTCTGGTAGAAAATCCCAGCTCTTAACCTGATTTGCTGGCTGTGTTGCAGCAAACAAACAACCTTTCCTAAAATTATGAAGCAAACGAACAGAGAACAGAATAAGGGATGATCCCTAGGGTCAAAACAAGAAGTGTGAATGTAAAATGCATTGACAGAATGAGCTGGAATGAGAATGCTGCAGTCCAGCTTTCCTGTAGTGCTAGCCTGGAGCAAGTTCAGAGAAAAGGCAGAGTGAAAGATGGCTGGGTTTTTTTTTAAGTCTGTTTCAATAGACTCTGCCGCGTTTCTTGTTATTATCAGAGGCTTACTGCAGAAGGTGAGCTCACTGAAATATTCTGCTACGAATTTCATTGTGGCAAGTGTGCTTTCTGCTGTAAAAATAGTATTAAAAAATTAAAGAGCTGTTATTTATGAGATCAAAGTGGGATAGAATTCCTTTCTTTATGTGTGTTTTTATGCTGTCGATATAATAACAGAATGGAAGTTCTTTGGTCCCAGTGCAGAACCTCTATGCCCTGCAATCACTAGATAAAAAAAAAAAAAAAAGCCATATATAAATTATAGGTGATCCGGGAACTGCCAGGGTGCCCTGCTGTGTGCGTTGCAATGTCACTTGGGTGATTGGGGCCTAGGCCTGCAGCGAAGAGCAGATTCCATACACGTTCCACTCGTTTTCGTAGAATCGGATGGTACTTTAATTTGGAAGGGCCTTTGGAGGTCTTCTGCCGAAACCCCTGCTCAAAGCAAGGCCAGCCTTGAAGCTTGATCCAATTTTGAAATTGCACCAGGCTGCTAAGGGCCTTGTCCAATTGAGCATTTCGAGCATTTCCCATGACGGAGATCCTGCAGCCTCTCTGGGCAACCTGCTACAGTGTTTGGCCACCCTCAGGGTTAAAAATTCTTTTCTTTATGTCTAAATGGAATTTCCCATGCTTCAACTTATATCTGTTGCCTCTTGTCCTTTTTCTGTGCATCTCTGGGATGAGTGTGGGTGTGCTGTCTCTATAACTGCTGTTTAGACAGCTGAAGACACAGCTATTAGATCCCTCCTTAGCCCTCTCTTGCTCAGGCTAAACAGACTGAGCTCCCTGAGGCAATTTTCATATGTCACATGCTTCAGCACCCTAATCATTTTGGTGACCCTCTGCTGAACTCTCTCCAGTTTGTCCGTGTCTGTCTTGTACTGAGGAGCCCCAAAACAGACACAGTACTCCAGTTAATTTTGAGTGATCTGAGTTGAAAGACTTTGATTTGAATCAGCTGTATTTCCAACATCCAAAGGTTGTACACCATTGAAATAACACATGCTGATAAACTCTACAAAAGACCAGAACAGTGGATGGTGTCAGCCAAAACTGTTTGCTCTACCTACTTCTTCGAAGACATATTCAGGAATACATAAAAATATATGTGTTTGAGGGAAAGCCATGTGTGCAGGGAGCACAGTGCCTGAGAGAAAATGTATTCACTGAAAATTTTCAGGCTTCTGATTGTTCTCAGAAATGCAGCTGCTGTGTTGCATCGAGGAAAGTTTAAATTCTGCTCTTTTTGTAGGACTTCCAGTCCATGCGGGAAACTATGTTTATGTCCATGTACTTGCCTTTCTCAGTCATGCCTTCTTAGATCTTTTGCTAGCAAGGTGTTGTACTTGGTCTTTGCCGCTCTTGCATCTCCTCTGTGGCGATTGCTTAATGGCGCCTTCAGAAAGCCTCTGAAGCTCTCTCTACTCCTCTTAAGAGCATCTTTTCTGAGCTAACCTAGTGGAGTCCTAAAAATGAAGATATACTAGCCAGAAGTTCCTCAAAAGAGAGAGTTCATACTGGAAATCTCTTAATGGAGATCTTTTTAAGCTATATTTAATCGAGAAATTATGCATTACACTAGTGTCCTTTTAGACTCCAGCTGGTGATTGTGCAGCACAGTGCAGGTTATACTACCTGGCTTTATTCACCCCTTCAGTGCACAATATAGTACATGTGCAAACTTAGGAACCTTTCCCCATTTAAAATGTCATATGCTTATAACAATCGTATGCTAATGAAAATGTGCAACTATTCTTACAGAAGTCTTTTTGTTTATCATGGTTACAGTGTAAGTGACTGAACAGAGCACTGGTAGCTCAGTAGGATACGCTGTTGATTCTCTAGAAAATGCAAATACGCAGTTGTAGGTGTTAAACAGTATAGCAAACCAATATCTGAGATGCCATTCAGGATATAAGCATGGGGTCCTTTGCCCAGACTCTCTGAATTTAGATATCCATGAAAAAATACATTAAGCAAATGCTTCCAATTTACCTCACTCTTTATTCCTTGATCATTTAAGCAATTATGTAAAGTACTCTGGTAAGTCGTAATATTGTAAAGACTGGACAGCAAATCCTCAATGCTGTTTGTCTTTTAGAGAGCATTCAAAAAATGATTTTGGAGTGTGATTTGCTCTGTCTTTTGTATTTAGGAACACAGGGACCAAATCCTATTTTGCTTCTTAATTATCATTTTGCTCCAGAATAAAACGATTTTACAAGCCTCTGTTCCTATATTGTGATAGTATGGGGTGCTTTCACGTTTCTCATGAATGCTGTTCACGTGCAATAAGCACGAGTAAGACTGGTATAAATGCCAAGGGTAGAATAAAGGATGTCCCTTAATCTGATCTATGAAAGCATTTGAACAGGTACTTGAGGTATACTAAAGTCAGCACGAGTTAAACACAGGCTTAAAAGTTAACCAAGAACACATTTGTCCTTGCTGAACTGGGAGCTCTATGGTAAAGAGAGTAGGTTGTACAAAACCCTGTGAGAATAATTCTCTATGGTATAATGCTTCTTGCTTTGAAGAAATATGTAAGATATAATCACAGTACCTCAAAGTCTCCTTTTAGGTCACACGTGCACATGCATCTTTAAAGCAAAAGCTATCCTCTTCTGCTTTAATGGGCTTCTCAGTGGCTAATTTAAGAGAATAAATAAATAAGAAAAAGACTGAAATGATATATTTTAAAAGCAATTAATAAAAATGCTAATTTCCTCCTTATTTTTTCCTCTTTGTTTTCCAGAGATTATTTTAAGGTTGAAGAAATACAAATATTGCCTCTTTTGTGTTTGTTATTAATGTGCTTTTTTATAGCCTTCATTTCTATAGGAAAACAGTTTCCAAAACGTTGGGTATGTGCTTAAATACCATCTATTCCATAGTTTTTATGGATAAATAGTTTTTTTAACTTCAAGTTAAAAAAGTGAAGTAGTCTGCACCTGCGAATATAAGATGTTTATCAAGACGGCTTGCTTCTTAATCAGAATACTATATTATGATATTCTTTGTTCTGACCACTAGATGGTGTCAATGTCTGTAGGTACATATATCTGCATGTGACTATAATCACAGTTATGAATATTATTCTTCTGACCAACAGATATTTCCTGGACTGATTCTCTCAGACATAAAGCCTGCCAAAAGAATGAAGTTCAAGACAGTCTGCTACCTGCTCGTTCAGCTCATGCACTGTCGTAAGATGTTTAAAGCGGAGATCCCTTTCTCCAATGTCATGACATGCGAGGATGACGATAAGGTAATTCCTGTGGGCTCTTTGGGCTTGGGTTTTGGGACCACGGGAACCAGCCTTGCTCTGGGAAGACCTGAGGTGACCTGGCCAGCTGATAGTGGAGTTTCTGGGGATCCTCCTGGACCTAGAGCCATCTGGTGCGCACAGCAACGGGAAATACATGTAAGGGTCTCATGGTGGAGATGAAGCTCAGGTATAACCAGTCTCAAATTTGAAGCTTTTTTTGCCTGAGCCAGCACAGACGGCCTCTGTGGCTTCTGTTGAAGGCTTCTTTCACGTAAGTTAGAGTTTCTGAGGCTACTTACGCAGTTACCAAGAGCTAGTCTTTCGTATCTTGAGTCCACCACAGCTTCAAGCTGATGGCATCAAATGTAAAATAACAGTAATTTTGTATTGCTAGGTGGCTCCCTAAAGAGTGAAAGGTAAGTGATTTGTACAAGAGGTTACTCTTAGTCCCTAATAGAGATACCAAACATGGTAGCCTTGAATGGCAGGTAATGCCTTAACTCATAATTGCTATATCTTGTGTTATTTCCTTTTCTGCACAACCAGAAATTTGTACAGAGGGAAAAAAAAATGTTTGAAGAGTTGCTGGTTTCACTTTCTTTGCCAGCAGGTGGCAATATTACATAGGTTGCTAGTGAGTCCTCCTAGTCAGCAGATGGATTCATCTTGACTGGTTGCTCTACTGTTTTTAGTAAGGAATGTCTATTGAAGATTCAATATAAATATTACCATCAGACAGCATTATAAATTTTCTACTTTGGATTTTGTGTATGCATATGTTTCCTCTGGAGGATAGACTATTCTCTTAGTTCCTTTAGAACACAATTCTAGTGAAGATGTTCAGAAACTCCAAGTTTGCTCTTATAAATTGTTCATAGACAGGGCCAGACATAGCTTGAATATGACCTTTCAGTTGTGAAGTAGTACTGTTCTTTGAATATTTAAAAAAAGTAACTCACACATTCTTTGAAACATGTGCAGTCCTTTATGATGTGTCTTGTGTGTATGCATGCATAAATATGGTAGTATACACAGCAAATCCAGATATGGGTTTGCTAGGGATCTGATGTAAATTTTCTCATGTCAGAACATTCAGAGTCAATTTCTAAAATGCTGTCTTTAACTGAACCAGTTGTTCTTCCAAGTTTTTGAACCTGATGGGGGACTTTTATCATGGAACATGACATAAGGCTTTAATATAAATAGACTGTGTTGCAACCCAGGGTCTCTTCAGAGGTCGTTAGTCTTCAAATCGTGTAAAACTAGTTATGGCTATTAAGGCTTTGAAGCCAGCACAATACTGGAGCATTTATTTATCTGTTTAATTTCCAGCAAAATGCTATATCTTAACCACATATGGGAATCATGTAAGTCTACTGTATGAAATAATATTAGAAAAAAAAGAATAGGAGACCTAGCAAAAATAATTATATGTGAGCAGTAGCTAATTTGATTAAGCACGGTAACTGTAACCCTATTTAGAATAGAATAATCGATAACATAGTTTATTCCATATACGAGAATAACTCCCGTTGTCTATTCTTAGTCCAGATTTTCAAATAAAGAAGTGTTGCTTTTTTTTAAATCAAAACTGTTTTTCTCACCCTCACTACTATGTTGTAGGCATCTATTTCTTTTATAAAAAATCTCTCTCAGGAGAAAATATCTTTATCTAGGGTTAGACACGTTTGTAAGAGTTTATCATTGGTAAACTAAGATTTCTGTTGTAGGCAACAAAGACAGACATTCAGGTTTGAAAGGTCTTATCAATGTATGTCTACAAGAGTATTTTTTCATACTGAAATAATCAGTTCTTACACCACAGACAGCATTACAAATAATGGGATCTGATAGTTTGAAGAAAAATGCTTCAAGTAACCTCATAGTCATTTAATACTGATCTTACCTTCTCTCTACATATGTAGCCAGCAAAACAGGACATGGAAAGGTGTTTTATCTTTGCTAAGATCCATTATCTTTGAGATCACAAAGCTAAGTCATCAGGAAGTGGTTACCCTTTTCCACTGTTCATAAGTATTCATATATCATATACATGTAATACAAACTGATATGTTAGCTAATGGACTACTGTCATCCATTTTAGGTTCAGTGAGGATCTTACAAGAACTGCTTCATGTTGAATAAGACAGAAAACTGCCATTCTTACTGAATTACCTGAATAGTGATCACCACTGTGTTTTATCATCTGATTTATGAGGATATTTTGTAATATAACCTTTAAATGTGGGCTGTTAAATGCTGACTGCTCTGAACCAGTAAATTAAGTGTCTTTTTATAAAAACTTGATGATAGGCACTCTAAAGGGTCTGCTGATTATATCCTGAGCCAAAGGTGTCTTTTCCCCTGCGCAGACTTGTCATATCATGTTTTGAACGGTCTTCTTGAATTCTGCAGGTGTTAGATAAAAAATATCTTTTTAACTCTACAAAAGTAGTTTAACTTGCCTGAATGCACTTATTTTGGAGGGCAAACAAGAGGCACCTTCACTCTTCAGTTGCATTTATGGCATTCAGCTGATAATGGGAGGGGTCTGTGGCCTGGTCCTGGCTTCCTCACATCTTTTACCTTAGGTGGTGATTAGAGATAACACACAGTGTGTGAAGGATGGTCTGAAACTCAGGACGTTCATTACCCACGGTCAATCCCCTAAACATTGTGTTGTGAAGTCACGCTTCTCTCTCTTTGCTCGCTCTTTATGAATCTCAGATTATTTACTTTACAAAGGAATCATTCCTGTAGTAGGAATGGATGGAGATTCAAGCCCAGCACAGTCACTATAGCCTGGCTGTTGGAACCCTTTTGGAAAGTAAGGCTTGTCCCCTTTTGAGGTGAAAAGCATATTTAATTGATGTCTCTTCCTTCCCACTCAATGTGCTAACCATTAAGGTGATTGTTTGGTTTTTCTTTTAAAAGGCTGGCCTACCTCTTTTTTACTCCATGTTTAAGAAATGCTGCAGCTGCAAGAGCATTTTGTGAAGGTCCTGAACCTTTCAGGGTGTGTTAAGGCATGGACAGACATGCTAGTGCTGATCTATGCCTAGTGGTGTAAATTGCACCTCCCTCAGCTGAGGTTACCAGCAGCACGGCTGAGCGTGGTTGACTATCTCTGTGAGTGCCCTAGTCTCTCTCAACAGAAAGTGAGACAGATTGTCTAAAATCCCTTTCAGATATGCTTTGAGACAAATCTTTCGCACTATAAAGAACTGTAAGTGACCATCTTGTCAGTTGTGCTATCATGGAAGACTTAAACCCAGTGAAACGCGGTTGTGGATAACTGATCATTTATTAGACTGCTCCAGCTGGATCTGCAAGTGCCCTCAAAGCATGTCCAAGAGGTCTTAAAAAGAGAGGCACTCAGGTGAGTTAGAAGTAGGAGTACCTGGTATTTTGAACTCTCTCAAGTCGTATGACATATGTGACATATGATCGTTATGGAAGAGGTTAAGAAACATTTTCTTTTCCAGTACGTATTGTTACCTGGAGAGCTTTGGAGAGTAGGACTCTCCAAGAGCTGTGCGTCTCTCTTTATGTAAAAATTGCCAGCTATTTTGCTGAAGTCACACTGATTGGGGTCAGATGGTTTATTTCCTTAGTGGCAGAAAGGCCAGTATGTAAAGGGAATTTCTGAAGATGAGAGTTAAAATTCTGGAATGCAGTGGGAGTTGTGTCATTGATTTTAATGAGATCAGGTTTTCAGCTAAGGAATTTTAAAGAGCTGGTAATCATACTGAGACAAGATCTCAATCTTTTGCAGTGCCCTGCTTAATGAAATCCTCCTCCTGGCTGTGAACTTGAGATAATAAGAATAACAGTAATTAATTCCAATATTAATAAAATATATGCTTCTTTCTTCATCTGTGCTACAGAGGAGAGCATTAAGGACAGCCTCTGAAAAACTCAGGAATCGTTCCTCTTTTTCTACAAATGTTGTATACAATACTCCAGGAACTCGAGTAAACAGATACATCAGCCGTTTGATAGAGGCCCGGCAAACTGAATCTGAGATGGCTGACTTGAACTTCTTTACCCTGAAGTATAAACAAATTGAACGTGAGAATAAAGTAAGTTTCTTCAAATTATTTTTGCTGGTTTTGCTGATGATGGGCCAGCTAGTATTGTTTGCCTGGGTGTTTTCAGACAGTACCTAAACTCTACTCACTGTCTTCAAATAATGTTCTAGACTCTCTCTTAACTAAGAGGAAGACAGTATCTCCACCTTCTGGGGAAGCACTTGGAGGGGATAAAAAGAAAGATCCGTATCTTTCTCCTCATAAAAATCCTCCCCTCGTTATATTACGTTGCCCATGTTTTGGTCTTCCTATTGCTTCCCTGAAGTGCCTGGTCTGTGTCGCCCGTGTAATGATGTCTTGTGGCAGTGTGGCTGTCTCCTCCTTATCTGCTCTGGAGAATGGCAGGCGGAGGCTTCCCTCCGCACATATAGGGTGATAAGGGTCGATCCCACCCGTCCTATGAAATATAAAGAAAAGGCTAAATCTCGGATAAAGGTTGTGATCTCATGCCAGTGGAAAGAGT